AAAAATTAAGGCTTAAAAAAATTATTTCATTGCCCTCGAGTAATAATCATGGCCCCTTAGGAGGCCCGGCTCCCAGTTTGAAAAGCACTATTTTACAATTAGGAGTTTTAAATCATTTCTGAGTTTAGTTTGTGTTCAGAATTAAGCTATTATTTGCTAAACCAATGCTCGTAAGAAACTAAAAAACTAATTTTCCATCGCTTTGAATTTGAAAAGTTATAAAACTTACTAAAATAAAACTACTAAAATTACATTGAAGTACTCGTAGAACCCAATGATTTATTATTTCTGTTAAATGTCAGTCTTAGAGTTGAGTTTGTCTGAATGCTATTAAACATAAATTTACACTTTTATCGTTTTTAATTACTTGTAAGTCTGTGCTGAATATAATTTCGGAAGTTTTACATATCAAAAATGTTATATTTTGTTTTAAATTTATTAGATTCAAGCAAATTTTTAAAATAAAACAATACGAAATATAAGGTTTTCTCAAAGTTAATTGTTTACACGGCATTGGTTTTCAAATATGAAAATAAATTACTTCTTACCAATGTAAGCAATATAAATATTATTGTTCATATTCAAAATAATGTGTAGTAAAGCGTGCACAACTTCAATGTAAATGCAATTAACAACTCACATTTTATAAACTTTATTCATATAAAAGAATATTTAAAATATTTATACAAAAAATAGATCATGTGTAATATAAAAAAAATGTATACATTGAAATTGAACTATTTAATAAATATATATATATGTGTGTGTGTGTGTGTGTGTTTATGATATTCATATAAAATAAACTAATAGCGCTACTTTAATAAAGCATATTATACTGTAATAGTTCTTTTATAATAATATTCGGAACAATTTAATTAACAATCATTGAGTTCTGATATTTTCATTAAATAAACAAATAAATCACTTCGTTTTTATTAATTCATAACTAATATAAAATACATGTCATTATTACAATTGAACACCATCGAACACATGCATTAATTCAAGTAGGCAATCATTATTTAAACTTGATGGTTGAAAAGATCTAGTTGTACAAGGTGTACAGAAATTAAATTTGAAATCGGGGTAATATAATTTACTATGAAAAAGGTTTCCAAAGAAACGTACATAATATTGGCTAGTATAATATTTCAGAAATAAAAATGTCCATTTATATAAATTAAACCTGTAAATTTTTCTGTCAAAACAATCATAGCGTTTTGATACATATTGGATGTAGTATTATGATAGTACTTTCAGTATATTATAATTATTAAAGTTTACTAAATAAAAATTATTATATAACATTAAGCAAGGTAATACTGATATCATATAACAGATCTACTGAAGCACATTGGTTTAATATTCCATATGTTTTACTCGGTATTCGACATAAATGGAGGGTCGTTTTTATTCAAATTTAACAACACGGAAACACTTTTTTTTTTATATTTTAATATAGGATACTATAATTTGTAAGTATATCTTTAATAAACACGAGAGATAGTTGAAACATAAAAGTAATGTGAAAAATTTAAGTAAAAAAAAGAAAAATTAAATATATAAAATAAAATAAATGTAATTACGAGTATATTATTTTGTGACATGGATGAAACTTAATTTCGAGGTAACGGGTAAGTTCATCACATTTAATCTTTTTTAATCGTTTAAAAACGAACGAGCATTACATAGAATTTAAATAAACAACAGTAAACAAAGATTGCTCCTCTGCAGACCCAAATTAAATCTGTGAAAACTTCTATAAACATAAAACCGCTATAAATCGTTCATCTCTTACAATTGTGCACAAAAATAAAAATAAAGTATGTTACGCAAACATTTATATATATTGGTAGTTTATGCTTTTTTTTTGGCAAAAATACATCCAGCGAAACATTTACTGGGAACCCGCGTGATTTAATATTTTCGAGTTGATACGAGTTGAGATGCTCGTTCGCTGGAAATTATTACGCGTTGAGCGTAGAAACGACAAACTGTGGGAATGGTGACGGGAAAAAAGAAACAATCGACACTACACTAATGTGTCTGTAAGAAGCGTAAATACTGAATATTTTGAACGTGAAAATTTGACAGAAAGTACTTTTATCTAATAATATTGGGTTTCCAGAAGGTCATGGGTTGTGTATTTTTATCGAATTAACCGCGGCGTAGGTTTATGCCTATTCTATCTATTATGATTTAAACGGGAGACAATGATAAAAAAAAAAAAAAAATGTTATAGTTTTTAAAATCCGAAACATGTTTATTGTTACGTGATGTCGAAATCGATGGGTATTTTAAATTATTATCGCAGCACATCGGATTATTACATGGTTCGTTTGTAGGTTAGTATGTTCCCATGCATCGAACACGACCACGCCAAAGTGCTTTTCCTTGTGAAATCTACGCGGGAGACGACTTTGCGGCCGGAAAAAGAAACTTTTTAATGCCAGTATATCATTAGAAATGGAAATGTAACAGAATAGAAAAAAAAAAATCAAAGCACACACAGTATTATTTTTCAGTAATTATTTTCTCAATCGGTTTTTCCGGTCTTGTTCAAAACACTCCGATGGAGTTTATCCGGGTCAAATATAAATATTAGTACAAACGGATACACTTTTAAGTTACCACGTGGTGTGGTATTAAATTTTAACGTACAGAGGAACGTAGAAAGAGGGGAAAAAAAACTATAACCCAGACGAACGGAATGCTCTTGCTCTGAAGAAAAACGAACGGACTATGCAGCAAAATGAATTACAGAAAATGTATAGCGATTGATTCGTCGATAATGCGTTTGTTATCAAGCACGACGCACGGAATGTACAGGCTAGCGTGAACGTGTTTGGCGTAAGGGCTAAAAAGACACAGGAAAAAATGAAAATAAAATAATGAATCAAGTTTTCGATGGATGAGCGGGAAACGTTGCGTGGGTGTGTCGGAACATTACTCCAACCGCTCTAGGATGCAGGATGAATCCCGTTGGATTTGGAGGAAGACAGTGGTCTTGCGATAGACCCGTCTCGAGGGTTAAGCGACATAGGCCCTAGTCTAGGGTGGTATTTATCATTTTTATACTGAAGATAATTTTTAAAAAAAGGATTACAATTTCTAGTACCTACTCGTATCAAACTATGTGGAAAAAATAAGATCATAAATTTTTTTTGTTTTATTTAAACCAGTAATGGTTTACTTGTTTACAAATATATTGATTAGATCGATTCAATATTATTTTAATAAATAAAATGAACTCAGAATTAAGTCTATTTTCATATTGTTTATGCTTATGCGGATCTAGAAATGAACAATAGTAGGGGCTAGTATAGTGAGTTACTTTCATAATTTGTTGCACATTTCGATTTGTATGAAATCTTTTTTACGTCTAATTTTTTAATAATTTTAAGTACCGAAGTCCATATGGTTCTATCTAATGAACAATGGGGGGGGACTTAAGCTTAGATCCTCGTATCTGCGCCTGGTTTGGAATTAAGAGTAATGTTTTTATGTTTAAAAAAAAATGAAAATCAAAAAGTAATCGAAATATCACCGAAAACACTTCAAGCCAAAATTATACGATAAAATATCCATAACCGACTCGTACTTAAATTCTCCGAACGCTTCAATAATTATACTTATAATACGCTCGTATTTTTTTTCCGTAAATCACGAATTTGACTGGGAAGTTTTTATATTCAAAATCGCTTAAAAAATACTTCGAGCACTTTCAATTCAAAACAGTCATTTCGCGTTGAACATGTTAGAAAATTGGTTGGACAGCAATCGGATTTTGGGGATTGAGACGCGCGTGCAATAGTCAGTCGGTTCACGTTCGTTTAACGATGTCTGTTCTCGCTTGTACAGAAATAAGCGATCAGTTTGAAATTACAACACAATCGATAAGGGCTGACAGTGGAATGGAAGCTGTCCGAATCCATTCGTAAAGTAACCGAAGCAGCGTAAAGTGGAAGGCGATCCCGTTCGGCCCGTCGTGCTTTTGCCGCTCACGTCCTCCTTGCCAAGAGACTTGTGCGCGTACTCATAACTACGTACAGGGCTGTGGAGAGAGAAACCCTGGCCCTAGGGTGTTTCTTAATTTTTTCTGCAGTGTTCATTAAATTCTTATCATTAATTGTGTTTAGTTTTAAATAATATGTAGTCCTTAATTTCCGGGGCCAGGGGGAATCATCCCTCCCTCACTCTTTGTCAGGACTGACCGTGTATCTTCCCTACAATCAACGCTCATTACTCATTGCGGCCACTCGTCTTTCGATTCGTTTTGGGTGGCGCTATACTCGGTGTTCGAGTCTGGACCTGAGTGACCGGACCACATTTTCGGGTAGGTTCGGTGATGCTGTGATGGATTAGTATACGAGTGATAATCGAATTGGTCCGATTAACAATGAATTATAACGTTGTTCGTTTAATAATTACTATCCATGACAATTTAGTAACTAAATTCTACCGTGAATGCGAAAGTAGCTTAACTTTTTTTGCGAGGGGTGTGAAGTAAGACTGACAGCACGCGGTGAAGAGTTTTTTTTTTGTAAGTTCAATGCTAATGTTTCTGTTGCTGCGTCCCCGAACGAACGTTTCGATAAATTAAATTTTGACTAGTGCGTTCATACAAGCAGCTTATGGACAGTTGCAGCTTTTTTCAAATTGTTTAAAACTGGATGATCAAAAAGTTTCTTGCAGTGTACTACTCCGTGATAATTATTCAGCATTACACGTTTTCACATATAAAAATTCGTAGAAAACTATTCCATTAATTTTTCGATAAGAAAGGTTAAATTTAGTTTTTAATAACAAACGAGGAAAGTGATCGGGATGGAAATTAGACGAAAAAAATTATTTAAGCAAAAATATTGTATAGTAGCTACTGTAAAAGAATAAAATATTTTCAGAAATAAAATTAGTCAACTTAATCGAGATATTAGCCGTCGAAAATATCGTTATGTATTACAATACGAAAAACAATAACCAAATATTCAAAAACATACCTCTTTGGGTTGAATGTTGGAGACAGGTGGTGGTTTCACCCCGACGCTGTGCTCTGGCGGCGGGCATTCATCTTGCCGACTGTCTTTGATCATTTGCAATCGTCTTTGATCCAATTTCCATTGTAAACTGCTATACTTTTCGAAAAACGAACCATCCGTTTCGTGCACTCTATGGAAAAATTAAAGAAAATAAATTATTAGACATAGGAAAGTTCTTAAAAAATATTCAGTGTTTCGTGTATATTTTTTGTACACTTAAAATATATAAAGCTAACGGAACTTGATCTCAAAATATTGTATAAGTTATATTGTGTTGAGCTATTACTTGAAGATTAATTAGTTAGAGATTTTTTAGAGATTTTTTATAACGTATACGATTATCTCTGCCCAGATAAATGTACTTTAGTACTAATTTACATTATAATTCTGTCGTTTTTATTTTAACATGAGGTAATTATATATTATGTATGTGTGCGTTATATACAATCATCTTTTTTTTCCATTACGTTACATTTCGTCGTATCGATCGATATCTTTCGGGATGCTATTTATTCCGCTATAATTAAAATTGTTTTTTATTTTGTTTTTATTATTCTTCAAAAGACAAACAAAAAACTTCATCACTTCTTGATCAGAAATTCTTTTACAAAAATTATCAAAACCGTGCGAAGCTATAATTAAAAAAAAAAAAAAACCATTATATTCGTTCAAAGCAATGCACAGAAGTACAGCGACTTTGAATTTTATACGATTCTGTCTACGATGTTTTAGAGGTTTCTTTATTTGAAAATAAGTAACTGACAGCGGTTTTGGTACCACTTAAGTTAGATATTTATATAATTTTACAGTGGATATTGGCAAGCAACGGAATGGGTCTTTGTAATGTTACAACATGAGAGTCACTTCGGCGCCATCGCAAAAAAAAGAGTTTCTAAAATAATGTTTTCGACGTTTTTGTATTAAAAAGTTAAAAGTTAACTATCGTTATCTGCATGTTTTATGTTAAAAACGAACATGCCGAGGAAGTCTTTTCGCGTTATATTCTTTGCTCTACAAATAATAAATGATAATATGCATTGTTAATATTTTTTTTTTATCTGAAACAACATATTTTTCTGATAATGTCTTTACATAAAAATCGATGTATCATATATTTATTTCACAATCTAGACTCTAGATGTTCGACGAATTTTGTGGAATGGCACGGTGGGTACCGCACAAAAAGTTAGTGAACTACTCTATTTAATACGATGCATGAAACACCGTAAATATATATACCAATGGATTTGTAATAACACAAACGCGAAATTAATAAAAATGAAAATAAATAAAAAATATTTGTTGTAATCACTCGTCGTTGTTTCATTTTTTCCTCTTTAATTTCAAACCTGACAATATTTTGAATTCCATGTCAACATCAGTGTCATGATATTACGCAATTTATCAATTATGATTATGCTCAATTTTAACTGGAAAAAAAAAAAAAGAAAAAAGAAGAAACAATATACTACACTCTTATTCAACAAAATGTTCTTGTCACAACTTTTTCGAGCGCATCTTGAAAACCAATGCCCTGTAGTTTAACCGAAAGGCTCAAATTTGTCGAGTTATATTATATTCAAATAATAATAATAATAATAATAATAAAATGACAGCTTAACCTAAACTGAATTCTTGTTGAAAAATGTGGAACCTCGTCGAATAGGAAAAATATTACAATATTGAATTACGTTTTACATTCTATTAAATTTATCAGTGAATATTCAGTCGTTTTTAGATATTAGAATTTGATTTAATGACATACTATACTACTGAACAACAGTATCGACATTTTGAGCAATATATTACAATAATTCTGTGCAAAAAAAAAAAAAAATAAATAAAAATTATGATAACAGAAACGGAAACAAAACGACAATATGTATAATCCATATTATGAATTTTTCAGAAACTGATTGAAGTATTATTAATTTCTAAGATTTTTTAAAGGAGATTTTTTTCTGAAGAAAAAAAAAATAGAATTTGACTCCATGAGAAAAATCCGAGTATTTTTATTGCTTAATTCTGATTTGTATAAAAAACATGATTAAGTATTTTTTGATAATGAACTATTAACTATTAAAGTGTTTAAAGCAGCAGAGTAATGGAAGATTTTTTTTATATTTTTCGGTTTTAAAAATGTGTTTTGTATAGTTCTGTGGATTTTAAAAATAAACCAGTTTTCAAAATAATCAAATTTATTAGATTAAGTAAATTATACTCTAGGCTAAAATAAGTATTTAAACTACCTAAATTAATTGTAAATGTTCCAAGTTCAACACCATCGGCGAAATGAAAATTTTCTGCTTTAAAAATGATAAAATGTAGGTCTACTCAAAATCAAGATAGACTATCTACTCTCGGAATATTATCCATTGAATAAAAAAAAATATTACAGAACTTAAAAATTTTCACTGAATTTTACGATAAAGTGATGAAAATGTTTGTTGCAAAAGCAAGAAGAATTGAATTTATATACGATTACTTTAATGTACTAATTTTAACTAACTCTCTGTTAAAATGATTATAGTATTAAATTAAAGTCTTAAAATATATACGAATAAATAAATAAATAAAATAAATACGAAAATGTGCACTATAAAATATCACAATTAAATCATACCTATGATGCATTACGACAAATGAGCATACTCGGGATTCAACTTTCGCCACTGGATGTATAACGATAATGTTGCAGTGCAACTCGTCGAATTCTCTACTAATCCCTTCACCTCGTTTACTGTGGTGGTAATTAACATAGTCGGCGCATGGACTGAATTCGTAATCGATAATTGAAGAATGTACATATTTCAGTAATTGTTTACTGTCGCGTAGTGTACAGTGGTGAAAATAATTCACACCATACGTATACTGATGCAAATTATACTCGTATTGGACGATTAATTTTTTCACGTAAAATCATATACCATCTATACTAGTTTCTACGTAAAATGTTCATATGTTACGATCATTACACACACCCACACACATTTACATATACATATTTAATATGCACCTAATGATTCAATGTGCTCTTGTAAGTACGTTTAGTTTGCACACGAGTAATATCATTACTTAAAGATTAAAAAAGTAAAATTCAGCTTTGCAAAAGATTCTCCGGTTGCCACGTATTTACTTTAAACTCTTAACTTAACAAAATACTTTCGTGATCTAATCTTGTGATCGCTAATCTTCGAAAGTCACCAGTATTAATGTGTCATAGCGATTTGACGTAACCATTAATTCGCGTGTATTCATTATTTCACGAAATCAATTCGTTATAAGTTGTAGCGGAATACGGTTCTAATAACGTTACCATAAAGTCTACTGAAAACATAATCCTTCGATTATATGTCGACAGCTCATTTAAAGTTAAAAAAAAAAAAAAAAGATCAATTCACCCTATACAACGTGTATAACAATATGAAAGTAATATTGGATGTGTACCGACTCTTAAAGTTAGGGTTACATGATTCGATGACGATATTATTGCACAACGCGTTCATGCATGAACAATACTTAAGGATGCGGAAGGGAAGAGTATTCGCACGACGGCGTTTGCCGCAGAACATATTTTTATTATACGGTTTGCAGATTTTTTATGGAAAAATAATGTTTAACGCGTATAAATGAATGTGTGCGCTACTCCGTCGTTCTCATGTAATGGTTGCAGAGGATCTTATCCCGTTGGGTCAAAACGTTTGTTCGTCGTACGATTACGTATAATGTTTTTTTTTTTTTTTTTTTTTTTATATAATAAACGACCGTTGGGTATAGAGTACAGAAAAAATTAATTATACATTTAAATTTAAATAAGAGTAAAAACATTAATTATAATAAATACAGAGTTTAAAATAGCATTTAAAATATACATTGAATCAGAATACTTTTTTTAAACAATTTTTTCATTTCGTGAGAAGTATGAAAAAAGAAATCAAAGCTTTCAAGTTTATTAACTAATGATGATGACATTCGGTTTAACAGACATTACGTTTAATAGTAGGAACATGGAATGTATAAGTGGATCTTAATGATAATTTTGGTACGAATCTGGGAATTTAAATAAATTAGGGATAATACCTCAGAACAGTCAATATTAGAATTTATTAATTTATGTAGCCAGTTCAAATCATTTAATTGCCTTATAAACTAGCGTTTTAATGTTAAAATCTGTTGCTAGAAATTTTAGTGTTTAATAAACTTTGTTTGTTTTATAAGCTAATATACACAAGAAACGATTTTGAATTCATTCTAATCTTTGTATTAGATAATATTGATGGTTCCAAATTTATGATCCATATTCTAGATTTTAACAAACAAGGGAAATATATAAGACACGTAAATATATGAGGTGATTAAACTACAAACAATTTCGGTTTAAAAATCCTAATATATGTTTAGCTTTATTATAAATTACATTTAAATGTTCTATAAATCAAAGATCACTGGATAATGTAATGCCTAAATCATTTACTTTATGTATAATACAATTATTTAGTTTTATATCATTTATTTGATATAATGAATTTAAGTTTTATTTATTTCTTATGAACTTTATTTGAAAGTATTTATCCGTGTTCAGATAGGGATCATTGTTTATATACCATAAATTGAATTGATTAAGATCATATTGTAATTATTGTAATTTACTAGAGCCTCCTAAAGTTAATATAGCCATGTACATTTTTAAGTCATCAGCAAATAATGAAAATTTACAATAACGAAATATATGATTAATATCGATCATAAACAGTATAAATAATAATGGCGATAAATGACCATTCTGGTAGTAGATGTTGTAGAATATAATATGGTATATATAAATATGCAGGTCACCAGTAGCTCTATGATACTATTATCATACGACCGCGATTAATTTCGATGAATTGGGCCCGTACAAGAGGACCACGCGAGAGGTTCATTTTCATGGACAGGAGGGGATATTGGTACTCAATGCTCTTGTCTATGGTTTACATATACGACTACGGTAGGGTCATTTCGGAACGAATCCCCTCTCCAGGATTCTAAGGTTATAATAATAGAACTGATAAAATTTTTTTTTAACGGAAAATGTTTAAACAATTAAAAAACGATTACACCACTTGTGTATCGGAATATAGTGTAGTATAT